CCATAAAAACAATTAAATAAAAACTTTTCACAATAAAATACGGCAAAAATCATATATCCGATATTCAATAAATGTAATTGCTTATCGTTGAGTGTTGCAATTACAGAGTTCAAAGAATACTTTACGAAATATGCTGGTGGTGCAATTTACCCGCCCTATATGTTATTACGCCCTAAAAACGTAAAAACCTATTAAAATCCTATTAGAACCATTTTCGACTTCCACACGGACAATCCGAGGGAGAAATCATGTAATTAATAAATTAATTAGTAAATGAATTGTTCTTTAATGTATAGCAGCACCAATAATTTAGCAAGACTAAGACAGAATGAAAACTATCTAGTTTTAACTAAATAAAACTAAAGATCTACTTGATACCATATGCACTTAAGTAATACTTCATCAAGTGAATTTTAAGTGTAAGTTAAATCTAATGTTTCTAAACTAATACTATGTAAAGTATAACTTGACTCAACTCTTTCTTAACTAAACTTACAAATTCAAAATCTTCTATACTCTTGCTACATTAAGAATTAGAATTACCGCCATTATGAGCTATGTGTAACAAAAAATAAATCAGAAATTTACCTATAATATTATATCAAGAGGACATTTAAATTGAAGTACGTCTTTGTTACACTTTTTCTAGTTGCATAAATGTCTAAGAACGTTTGCATAAAATAAAATATTATTTTATAACCTCAAAGTTTTCTTTATACAATACAATTTCGTAATATTTTATTTATCTTATTAGGTTTTTTTTCAAGGCCCTCCTGTTTTATAACATTATCCATTGATTTTACACGAGAAACCACAATGCGTTTTATATTTCCTATGTAAAAATAACATTCACGGTCTATTCTAAACATAATATAAATTATTTATTAAAATAATTTAATCGCCATTTTCATTAACCTTTATCTAAAGTTGATTTAGTGTTAAAGATCACAATGTTTACTAAATTAAAGTTCTTCTTTAATAAAAAGTGTCTTACATAGTTCTTCATGAAGTTAAATAAACCTTAGCTGCAAAAATAATTATTACTCTTAAATAAGTATTCAAGATATCTTGAACTCTATTTCCTTGCCTACAGTCATACTACAAGTTATATTAAAGTACTTGTTTAGAAATTCTTAAAACTACACTCTTAATTAGGGTTTAAGTCTGCCTTAAGCGTTGTCTTAACTCTGTCTCAGTGATTTCCAAAGGATTGTGCCCTTTTTTGCTTACCATTGTCTTGGGGCATAACTTCAAGATTTCTTGAGTGCGACTATTGTCTTGGCCAAGACAACGGCTGGAATTAGGCTACTAGTCTTCAAGATATCTTCAATGCCTTATGAAGATAATCTGTTGCTACTTGGGGAAGCCGCGGGCAAAAGCTAGTAAACCATATAGGAAACATTTTGTTTTCCTTTTTTCACTTCTCTAAAGTATTTAACAGATACCACACCAATCCATCGTTGATTTAAGTTTGCAATATCGAGACTAAACTCGGTTCCGACTCGGAACCGTCACCCAAGTCAATTAATCAGCCGTCTAGACATGTCTGACTGAAGGCGACCTATCTAAGTTTAGTCTGCCCCAATGAATCCAGCAATCTGAAAAACAAAGCTGAATAACATTGACAACGAATACTCTAATTTTACACTTTATATAATCGATCACCGCCTTTTCTTCTACTTATTTTAAACAACTATCTTCTGGGAAGGTTGTCTGGAAGAGATCACTTTTTTTCTTAAATGTATAGACAGCCTAGTGTCCCGTCTCTTTTGTGTGTATTTCTTTCCTTGTTTTGTGTGATGTACAATAATAGTGTTTATCTATCTTGTTCACGAAATAGTTAAAATTCGTTCGTTCGTTCGTTTCAGCCAAATGACGTCCACTGCTGGACAAAGGCCTCCTCCAAGGTTTTCCACAATGAACGGTCCTGCGCCGCCCGCATCCAGGTTCTTCCCGCGACCTTTACCAGTTAAAGTATCTTATCCAAAGTCCAATAGACTATGAATACTTATCATGTAAAATGACTATCTATAGGTAGCGTATCCACTCGTCCACTTTAATGAAGGCTAATGGAAATGAAATGTCTTTGAAATAATGTTCAAAATCTAGTCTATTCCATTAGATTTTCGTCAAACCTTATTATTCGTGAAATAGCTAAAGTGCCTGTATTAGACTATGAATATTTCAGTCAGGGCGGCTCTGTATAGCGCGTCCACTCGCCCACCACAATGAAGGCTAATATAAATAGAAATTAAATACTTTTGAGAATTGAGCCAATGTTCCATTAAATTTTCGTCAAACCTTATTCATGAAATGGCTAAAGTACAGTCAGCGTCAATTACTTCGTGACACCCAAAGCAGTCAAAAAGTTCGCACGTCTTTGTTACAATCGGAATAAGGTTGTGGTAACAACTTTTTGGTCACTTTGGGTGTCACGAACTATTTGACGCTGACTGTAGCCATTAGACTATGAATAAAAGTAAAGACGGCTCCATCTATAGCGCGTCCACTCGCCACAATGGGGCCACTCTGCGACAATTATGCAAATTCGCGCTTGCCCTTACAAGTGCCGGGGACCTGCGATGCAGCGACTTTATTGCAACGGCACAGGGGCCAGAATTAATTGGCCCAATCTGTGCAATTGTCATTGAAAGGTCACCTCTGATAAGGTTGTCGAGCACGAGTTTTTTTGTGGCAGTTAAATGAACTCTTTTATTGCCACAATTGGATCTCTTCAGACAGGCGTCAGGGTATTGATTTAATAAACGTGTCGTGGTGTATCACAGTCACAGATTGTAAATCGTATGAAAACGACAACGTACGCGTTACGTTTCCGTTTCGTTTCAAAAGTTAGACAAAGTTCACATATTTTTATCGTGCGCGTCCCTGTTTCTAAAACTGGGATAAAAACTATCCTATGTCCTTTCTCGGGACTCAAACTATCTCTATGCCAAATTTCATCAAAATCGGTTCAGTGGTTTAGGCGTGAAAGCAAGACAGACAGACAGAGTTATACTTTCGCATTTATAATATTAGTATAGATGTTTGGGTGTAGGTTAAAATTTAAGATTATGATGATTGAAAATGAAACAACCATAAGTAATATATCGTTTTTTACAAAAACCTTAATTTATTACTTTTATATGCCCTTGAAAGCACTATCTAATTTTATCATAGTTATGTTTATAGTGTTTTATTAGGTCTCTCTTTTGTCTGAAGTGAAACGTGAATAGAATCCTATTGTGCCGTGAAAGACCAATCAAAAATGACAATGGAACTATAAATAGATTACAGAACTCCAAGGTCCCCAAGGTAATGGTCAAAAAATTGCGTTATTGTTACTTTCTTGTTCTGCTATAAAAAAAACTGGAGTTTTTTTTTTATTTTGTCAAGTCAGAGTAGCCAGAAGAATACGTATAAAGGTCATAGCACACTTATCAACCCGGAAAGGGATCAACACCGAATCGACTTTCGCCGCGCTGTCAACCGAGGCAAGGTATTTACGTTACGGCGCGGATAAGTGTGTGGAGTTTCATCCAAAGAATACTGACCGCCTAGAGTTAATACTGTTACGATCCGTTTCGTGCTTCGTCCTTAACGGTTGTATGCAGCCTTCCTCACAGTAGCGCAGGCTATGTATTGTTTTAGTAGAAACTGTAGTGTGGTATAAAAAATACATACAGCAGAACATATGTATAACCTCCTCCCTTTTTGAAGTCGGTTAAAAAGAGCAACTATGGTCTACAACCCTACGAATAGTCTGCAGTTTTTTTTTTTTATCCACAACGAGGAAGCTCTTGGCCTGTATCTCACCTGTTTCAATGGCGCTATTTTAATTTAAACGGAAGGTGATCTTCAAGGCAGTAAGGATCATTGCCTTTTTTGGCCTCTCACTTCCACGTAAGAGAACACGAATAACAAGCAATACAAATTACGTAGTCTCTGTAAGGATAGTTACAGAATGCGTTATGGTTTACTATAGGAATCGTGATCAAGCCATTTAGTAGTTGTTTCAAGATAGAGTTAGCTCTAGACTTAGCACTTATGGCGAGTGACGGAGCATCGGGGTCTTTTTTGTGAGTATGCCTCGTCCTTCTGACTTGGTGAGCCCCACAAAACCTACCCTGTCTCCGCAGGGTAGGTATGCGAATCAACGCATTTTTTCCCCGTAAAAAAGGACTTAACTTTCAAAAATCGCTATACAGTTAGATTATTGCTTTATTATTTTGATTTGTGCATTGGTTTATTTAGAAAAATGAAGATAATACCTAACTTTAGAATATATTCTGGTTTATGAAGGTTCTTTAATGACTTTCCTCAATTAACTCAATGCTGCACCTTGACTAATAATAGCAATATCAAACCAACACTTATTTTCGTGATGAAGAAAACACAGTCACAATTTATGATGGCATAATATGGCACTGCACACTACGCTCCTCGAAGCATTATGTGTACGCGTCACAGTTTGCGTGCGCGACATTCTTTCATGCCATCTTTAAGATATACGTGAAACGCACTGTTCGTTTTCGTGCGCAAGAGATGAGTCTGTATTAAATGACGATTAAAACTTGATTCAAATTCAAGCCTAGTTTCAAGTATGTGATTGGTAACATAGAGTCCAAATTGTTTAAGTTCAGTGCAGAAAATCAATCGTAATGTATATTTTAGACAAGTCGTTGTAGAAATCCTTACGGTACCGGTTAAAAAGAAAGGAAACTTATGTTTACTTTCCTTTGGACATGTTATACTAACGCCCGTATTTACAAACATTACTATGAGGTCTCACAGTGCGCGTGGACGCACAGGGTGACACACGAACCAGAATAGAGCTCTATTCAACGCTGTGCGTTCGATTTGCTACTTCACTTAGCCATTAAGCCATCTAGTCTCAAACTAAGCAAGGAAGGCTTATACTCGTACAATAGGTACGAAAGAGATAGATTTATTATTACTACTAGAAAGCACCTTTACTTATCTGATTCCTATCGTCTTTCCAGCATTTCTCATCTGCGGACGACCGACCATCATGGTGAACGTATTCTGCGAAGGCAGCCTCAACGATGCGGAGTGCGAACGACTCTCCAGGGTGGCTGAGCTGGCTGCTGCCGTCAGCATTCAGCTGGTGTTCCTGGGGGAGTTCCGGGACTGGGACAATGTACTCGGTGAGTGGACTTACAGCTCAAACACAAAGCACTATGGTCATTGGTCATTGTAAACTAAAAGAGAAACCAAAGTGACAAAGGGTAAGAGGATAATGAGGGTATACGAGATAGCTGCTGCTACAACTGGTGTCCTGGGGGAGTTCCGGGACTGGGACAATGTACTCGGTAAGTGGACATTGTAGTTGTGACAGTAAGCTACATGAGGCAACCTCCTGGTCAACGAATTCTTCCAGAGAAGCTACAGTAAGTTGAAGAGTGAGAGGATAGTGAGGGTGGCAGAGCTGGCTGCTACTGTTAGCCTTCAGCTGGTGTTCCTGGGGGAGTTCCGGGACTGGGACAATGTACTCGGTAAGTGAACTTACAGCAAACACAAGCCAGGCCCTATCCTGGTCATTGTATGTTATAAGAGAAACCAAAGTGACAAAGGGTAAGAGGTTAATGAGGGTATACGAGATGGCTGCTGCTACAACTGGTGTTCCTGGGGGAGTTTCGAGACTGGGACAATGTACTCGGTGAGTGGACTTACAGCTCAAACACAAAGCACTATGGTCATTGGTCATTGTAAACTAAAAGAGAAACCAAAGTGACAAAGGGTAAGAGGATAATGAGGGTATACGAGATGGCTGCTGCTACAACTGGTGTCCTGGGGGAGTTCCGGGACTGGGACAATGTACTCGGTAAGTGGACATTGTAGTTGTGACAGTAAGCTACATGAGGCAACCTCCTAATCAACGAATTCTGCGAGAGAAGCTACAGTAAGTTGAAGAGTGAGAGGATAGTGAGGGTGGCAGAGCTGGCTGCTACTGTTAGCCTTCAGCTGGTGTTCCTGGGGGAGTTCCGGGACTGGGACAATGTACTCGGTAAGTGGACTTACAGCAAACACAAGCCAGGCCCTATCCTGGTCATTGTATGTTATAAGAGAAACCAAAGTGACAAAGGGTAAGAGGTTAATGAGGGTATACGAGATGGCTGCTGCTACAACTGGTGTTCCTCGGGGAGTTCCGGGACTGGGACAATGTACTCGGTGAGTGGACATTGTAGCTAAGACAGTAAGCTACATGGCACTAAACTGGTTATGTATACTGCAATACTGCAAGAGGAGCTACAGTACAAAGTATGAGAGAGGGTCTAACGAGGGTGGCCGAGCTGACTGCTGCTCTTCAACTGGTGTTCTTGGGGGAATTCCGGGATTGGTACAACGTGCTCGGTGAGTGGGACATTGTAACTGAGACAGTAAGCTACGCAACTGCACTCAGGCTCAGGAGGATTTAATGAATGCTGCTGACAACGCCACTCTTGTAGCGGAGTTTTGGGCTGACACTAGGTTTGTTGTCGACACGATAAGAAGTAGAAGAATGCTACGTGTCACCATCCTGGTCAATGTATACTTCAAGGGCAGCAAAGCATTAGGCGATTGCATAGAAAAAGTCTGATTCTGAATTCAAGCCTGTTAATCTACTCTACATATTACCTACCTTTTTTTATCGCTGTTAATTTATAAGCCGTCAACCTTAAGATAGTCTTATTAGGAGATCAGTCAGACTGGTATCGTCATCAGCGATTACTGATTATGCTTGCCCTACTTTTACCAGTAGGTATCTGCTATGTGTAAGTTTTGTGAAATTACCTAAATCTATCTATACTAATATTATAAATGCGAAAGTAACTCTTTCTGTCTGTCATGCTTTCACGCCTAATCCTAAACCACTGATCCGATTTGGATGAAATTTGGCATAGAGATAGTTTGAGTCCCAGAAAAGGACATAGAATAGTTTTTATCCAGGTTTTTGAAATAGGGACGCGCGCGATAAAGTTTTTCTGTGACAGACTAAATTCCACGCGGGCGAAGCCGCGGGCGGAAAGCTAGTCAATAAATAACAAAATGCTCAACATATTACTACAATCCATAAATCGATAATTGCATACACGTTTCTTTCATAACTTTTTATGAGTTCTTAGCAACAATCAATACATTAATCTTGTCTAATAGGATTAGTACTCGATAGCATAGTGTCGCTATCGTTTCGACACGATGTCGGTTATCTTTGAAATCCGGTCTGGAATAATAGTGATCCATATTGACCGATATCGGAACCGGTACAAAGATTACAATGTTTCAGACAGTAAAATCTACGGCTTTATTACATTGTAAATTGAGATAGTTTTTTGTTAGTATTAAGACCGTAAAACCTCAGATAAGACACTGAACTTTATAAGGACCTATTAAGTAATTTGAGTGAACCTATCTTTGTTTCTATAATGTAATATTGGGTTAATCACTGAGACCGTTAGTATCTATTTGAGACGATTTTTATCATATCTTATGTGCAAAATTTTCACGATATTCGCGTAGACTATACGTAATCAAGTATCATTGGATTATTCTGGCACATATTTGGGCTATGACGTTCTTTAGAAGTGTAGACTCACTATAGGTCTTCTTGTGACAAACGTATACCTACTTACGTCAACTCAACCACCGAAAACTAATATTACTGAATGGCATAGGTATTCTGGCAACCCTAATTATGACACCAGTTACAAATAACAATCGATTTTAATAACGCACATGGACTTTGTATGTATGTGTAAAATATCAATATAATTCAGTCGGTTGACTTTGAAAAAGATAAATTACTTAAGCACAGTGTATTTATGTGTAAAATATCAAAATAAAGAGTAAACAGATATGACGTCAGTTTTATGAATTTCCACGCCAATTCTATTGACCGAAACAGCGTGTCATTATGACTGTGTATGACAAAAAGGATCATCTAATCATGACTAACCGTTTTTCCATCCAAATCCTGTTACAATAATATATGTAGTTGACCTTTGTATTTGATAGATACTGCTTGTAGGTCACTATAGCAGTACAGATTTTACTCTATATGCTTTTGTTTCAATAGTGAATCATCTGTCCGCGCACTTCCTGAAATGTATTTTAAATCAGTGCTATCTGGTCGCTATTTATAGTGATGCTACATAAAAACAATTAAATTATTAGGGTCACATTATCATCATCATCCCAGCCATAGGAAGTCCACTGCTGAACATAGGCCTCCCCCAATGCTTTCCATGCTGCCCGGTTGGTAGCGGCCTGCGTCCAGCGCCTTCCGGCTACATTTAAGATGTCGTCGGTCCACCTTGTGGGTGACTAAGCTGTGGAATTTAAAAGGATAACCATTAATCCTGATAGGATTAGAATGACATTTGTTATCTGTGCTCTTAATTCAAAATCTAATGATTTTTTTTTGTTTACAGCATTACGAACGTGCCAACCGCTGCTCGACGAACAAATCTCCACGACAGTCGACGCTCAATACACAGGTTTGACGACGATCCTTCACCCAGGGGTAGTAGAAAAGAGCCATTTCAACGGCCACGCGGGGGTTGTCAAATCGGGGCTTAGTCATCTCGCCATACCCCGGGGTTGGTCGTGGGGCGGCCCTGCCTCCCCCTTCTGCCCCGTCTGGGCAGAAATCAAAGTCCCCGATTGACATAAAAACAAATCCAAACACGGACACAATGAAAACCTAGCATACTATCTCCCCTCAGCTCTACTAGCAATACAATGCTTTCTAATAGTGTTGCTACACATATTCTACTTCAATTGAGATTACGCCGCCATTTGCAAATGTCAAAGATGGCGCCAAATATTTTTATTGTAATTTCTATGATATTTCCCAATGATATTTCAGCCTTAACCGTAATTATGAACGTATGCCAAAATACTAATGTAATTAATATTTCTCTATTACGTTAAATGTTTTGCTACTATTTTAAATACTAATGGAATACAGAAAAATATTATTGCTAGTGAACTTACGGTCATGTACTGATATTTTTTGGAACATCGTGAATTTACATCTACCAAATAATGTATTTAATAATGGAGAGTTATAATAGAAATATTCTTAGGTCATAACTTTTTATTAAATATTTTGTTTATTTATTTTCATAACATAGTGGTATGGTGTTTACTTCCAATGGTGGGCATTTAGTATATTATTATGTTACTGTAAATATTGTACGTTATCAATTTAGTGTTTATTTATTATTGTAATAAGAGTAGCAACTTTTAATATTTTTACGTATAAAAAGGCCAACGTGACACTGGTTTGAAGATAAAATCTATTTTTTGTCTGAAGTCAGTCATATTCTGGTCACCCTAGTTCAAATAATTAATTATTGGCTGTCAATTTTGCTGTTTTACTTAAATTTGACAATTCTATTTATCGGTAGTGAAACTTTTTTGCGTCCTTAAATCCAAATTGTATGAAAATATTGTAAATATTTGTATGTATTGATAAGATAAGGCATTATGGAGCTTTGACCAAAAATGTGCTTTTTCGATAATATGACAGTATTTTATTTATTTATTTTCACGTTCGATTCGTTGTTTCAAGAAATAATGTATATCTAAATGAATTAATTTCTTTATGTATGAAATATTTTGTGTATTAAAACAACTGCATGATTGATTCATTCTAAAAAGCCGATTTATGTATATTATTTCTTGATGCAATAGATATCAGTAGCTTTTATTTACGAATATTTTCTTCCAAGTTTCATAATTTCGAAGCGTTAAAATATCTTCCTATTTTTATAAAAATAACAGTATTTCAAAACTTTGCGAATCGGAATAAAACTTATTTAATAATTTAGCCTCAATCAGTAAATAATTTTATTACCTTGTGGGGCCCATCAGTTTATTAACTCTAAGCTATGTAAAGGGCCACAAGTAGTTTTATTGTAAAAGTGTTCCTTTAATCTAATAGCAAATCGGTAGGTGCCTTTTAACATTACGCCATTTCACTACTATATTTTTTGTGAGAGATAATCTAATGTTAGTGTGAATAAAATTGATATTGGAGTGATGAACGGACACTAAAGTTGAAATGGTTTAGGCGTAGTCCACATCGAGTGATGCTTAAAGGTATAGTCCCATTGATACGTAACGTGGTCCGTAGATTGAATATTTGTTTGGGGTGAAACTGTGGAGAGGCCACTCCTCTAGCTCGCTACTATTAACTTAAATTAATTTATGATAATATTGATAAATGTCTTTAATTCAATGACCAATATCTAAGTTCACCACAGCCTCTCTAGTAAAACATAGAAGTATATGTTTCATACAAATATTTCACGTACGGGTCACCCCAGTGTGAATGTACCTTAACCCTAACTTAAGTAATTTCGGAAAATACGCAGTCGTCTGTATTACTAGTGAGATCTCGTGAAAATATCAAAGAGAAGCAATATATTTTAGGGCTAGTAATATGTACTCATCTGTATATTAAGGTAATAATTCGAGATGGATACAACAACTTTAAGTAGGCCTTGATCAAGACAAAGGAATGTATATTTTTCAATCGAGTTTGAATTTATACACTGAAATCATGTAGTATAAAGTTCATTTGGAAAGTGCGTCATAGTAGGTTAATGAGAGTGGCCTTTACGTTAAGCTACTTAAAAAAAACAATCGCAATTTTGAACCTAATAATAAATAGATAAAATTCAAAATGCATTCGGAGTACTTCTCGATGTCTACTCCGCGCTATATTAAAATACTAGCTTTCCGCCCGCGGCTTCGCCCGCGTGGAATTTTGTCTGTCACAGAAAAACTTTATCGCGCGCGTCCCTGTTTCAAAAACCGGGATAAAAACTATCCTATGTTCTTTCCCGGGACTCAAACTATCTCTATGCCAAATTTCATCAAAATCGGTTGCGAGGTTTAAGCGGGAAAGCGTAACAGACAGACAGACAGACAGACAGACAGACAGACAGACAGACAGACAGAGTTACTTTCGCATTTATAATATTAGTTGGGATGACCTTATTCTGATGGAAGGTAGCCAGGATTTGATGCGAAAGAAAATTTTCCACGTCGATTTCAAACGTTCAGTGGAAGAGCCCTGAGTACATACAGCACATCAAGCTATAGTGGCCTCTAATTGTATTGCAATAAGTACTTTTTTGCCACAAAATGTAAGTCCGATGTGCTGTCACTTTACCTCTCAGTACCTGCGGAGAGCTCCGTTAAGCTTTGGCCAAACCAACACATTCAGCTTGCGTCGACGATGGCGATCACTGTGCGTGCATAGATCGCCGCGACCAATGACAGGACGCGTTGATGTGAACTCATCGCTACAAATTCATACACATCAAATTCAAATTATTTATTGCATGTCACATGGCTATATGGCTATACTGATCGCTATCGCGCACGCAGACTGCACGCGTTGGTTTGGCCAAACCTTTAGATATGTTATCAAATATGTATATTAAGGCGTAGTTAACTCAATGAATTTGCACGATTGTGATCCAGTATCTAGGGAATTGTAAATACGGAGAGATATCTACTTAAATATTTTTTTATATTAAAGTTATATTGATCTCGTTTCGTGCTTAGAAAATGTCGGGTGCAATTTATCTATATCTTTACAAATAATAGTTACTTTTAAAAGGTTAGTAGATCTGCAGAGTTAGCGACTATTTTCTCTACCACGACAGGAATTCCGCGTAGAACATTCTTTAAATCTTGATTTTAATTATTTACTGACAAAATATTACCCGTTTTTTGTGATAATTTATATCGTGTATATTTTTCAATGTTATATTTCTTGGTGTAAGTTATTGGTGAATTAAATTATTGGAATTAACACACTCTTTTATTTAACGTCGTTATTTAACCTTTATCAATATTCTAACTTTTTCATCTAGACAAATCAAACATCGATTTTCTATCAAACCTGACGCATGTTGCCTGTCTTGTCATCAAGTGCTGCAATTTATAAGCAGAAGAAATAAATATTAAGCGAAAACGTAGCAGCCGCTATAAGTTAAACATTCTCACAATGCCGGACAAGGTTGTAAAAATGGAAGGCATGTTATTCGAATACCCCACGACATACTTGAACGACTATCGGAAGGAGGAATTCAGGTAAAGTCCCCTGTCCATTTCGTGGTCCCAGGATTCTGTCCCATTAGGGCCCTCGCCCACAGCGACTTAAACGCGTGACAGCATCGCTACTAACGCGCGTTAGTCGCATTTGCAACGCACTACAGAAATGATGCCAACGCGCGACTGCATCGGTACAAAAAGTCGCCGTGGGCGAGGGCCCTTGATGGGATCACGAGGGAGACCGTGACTGTAACTTGACTTGTCTCTGTCTCACTCGCGAACTGATACATTTAGGCTGCGTTTCCACCAGATATGTGCGAGGATACGTAGCGATGAATTGTTTGTAAAGAACCAATAGAATCGCTTCATTTACCTACCAAGGCGAAGTAGCTCATCTCTGGTGGAAACGCAGCCTTATTCACAAACGATGCTTGCTTATGTGAAGCAGCAAATCGAACGTACAGCGTTGAATAGAGCTCTGTGATTGGTTCGTGTGTCACCCTGTGCGTCCACGCACTTTGAGACTTCATAGTAATGTTTCTGAATACGGGCGTTAGGATTGCGGTTAAAGACTGTTTTCACAACATTAGGGCGCCAGTAGCGACGGTATACAAGACGAAACCATCATGCATGATGCGACGACCGCCTCCTCTAAGGGACGTGCACACTATGTCGGACTGGAAGGCGCAGTCCATCCCTTTTGACCTGCTCCACAAGCCCAGAGACATCGTCGGCACTAACCCGTGGAAGGTGCAGGAGCGATATGTGAGTAAGACTTTCTAAATGATCTGGCTCGTCTAAAAACTAGACAAGCTTTTCTAAGTCAAAAATAATTGTTAATTTGTCCACTACTAAGGGAGACCCCCTTGACGGACCTTGTGGCAAAAATCTTTCAGTCGCTCGCAATCGAATATTTTTTTGATATCAATCACAAGTCAGAACTTTAGTGAGTCACAGCAGAGTAAATACAAATGAGTGCGTGCGCGCCGCATACGTATATTGGCGCGCTCACAGGCAAACCGCGCTCGGTGCGTTTCTATGAAGATGACCTACTCATTTGTATTTACTCTGGTCACAGTTAATTGTTTTGCAAAAAACGTAGGTAAACAGTCATAAAAAATCGTAGTAAGTATTGTGATTTTACAACTACCTGGTTACCTACCTCAAAAAAAGTTTAGTTGAAAACCACCTCACGAGGGTAGTAAATAAGTTTAGGCAAAATACGAGAGTAACGCTGCCACGTTGCACATTTTGCTCAAGCTGATAAGTAATCATGTTCTATTTATTTGAAGTGTAATTTGTTTTGTTCCTTTCTTCTATGCGGATCTAGGAAAAGCCAAAAGACATAGAGCGAGAGCAAGCCCAGAAGACGCGCCCGCGGTTGGTGATGACTCCAGCAGTCAGCATGGACGACATCGACGACCCTCGGGCCAGGGAGCTTCTGTGCGAAGACATGTACATCAGCGACATGGCCAAGGGCATGAAGGAGGCTGTGGCTCCGTACACTAATGTTCAGGCGCCGTTCGCTAAGCACCCGGCGCCGTCTAACCCTGTGAGTTTCTTTTAGCTCTTATTTTGCCTATTACATTGTAGGTAGACTCTTTCAAAGTAGTAAAAAAGTAAAAGTAAATAATGTTTTATTTGACAAAAAGAGCGACATCACATTTAAACAAATTATAAAAAGAAAAACATTGTGCCCTGCTGTCAAATAGGGGCCGCTCAGCATTAATCGGAACATGCCGTGGTGGGCAAGAAGTTTTGGTTAGTTCAATTAAGTTTGTTTGTAGAGACAAACCTAGTGACAATTATCAGATTCTTTGGATGAGAAAATCAACACACACGTGAAAATACGGTCAAAAGAAGGTATAGATAGATCTTTCTCTAAACGCACTGAAAGAGTTAGAAGTTCGAAAGGGCAATCAATAACTGGCTGGGTGGGTATTCGCGGAAACTTGTGAAAAACTCGGGAGATTCAAAACTGTGGAACATTTTTCTACGCGCAGCTAGAAGCCTAAAGGGCAAGAACTGGCTTACTCTACCCACATCTAATCTACATCGAAGATGCCATTTTACTTTGGTGGGCGTATTTTTCCCATTTTTGACGCATCGTCGTTGTTCCCAGATAACCCTGCGCAAGCTGCAGCCGTACCTGGTGTCGCCCGAGTGGCGAATGGAGACGGTCCGCTGGGACAACCAGCAGTTGCGCGCGCACTGCGACGCTACTAAAGACTTCTGGCTCAAGTTTCAACTGCCCAAGTAAGTTAGATGCATAATTTAAAAAAAGTAGATAATAAATTAAGCCAGTGGAAACTTACTCTGGAATGACCAAGCATAGTCTGTTAAATCAAAGGCGGGTCTAAAAATGAGTGGTAAGTAATTTTAAAATATCTGAATTTTATTTGCCTACGAAGTTTTAAGGTGCTCCCTCACCGGGAACTTTCGACTATAAGCAATAATGGTCAGTTTTCCTCTCTCACTGATGTAATGCTCAATTCGATGATGTAACGATACATACGCCAAATCTCCTAGTGAGAGCACCTTTACAAGCTGTTGTGTTCAGTGAAATATTTTTAAACTAGCTTTCCGCCCGCGGCTTCGCCCGCGTGGAATTTTGTCTGTCACAGAAAAACTTTATCGCGCGCGTCCCTGTTTCAAAAACCGGGATAAAAACTATCCTATGTTCTTTCCCGGGACTCAAACTATCTCTATGCCAAATTTCATCAAAATCGGTTGCGAGGTTTAAGCGGGAAAGCGTAACAGACAGACAGACAGACAGAGTTACTTTCGCATTTATAATATTAGTTGGGAAGTTGGGATTGCCGCTCTTTTTAGGCTCCTTCATTAATCAGACTCCATGGCTAAGCCGACGATCTTCTGGTGAACCAATCATTGCGAAATTTCGTAGGAGAGCATTTATCCAGCTGTAGACGAAATTCGGTTGAAACGAACGATAATCAATGTAAGCGTGTTTGGTGTTTTCAGATGTAGGGCATGCGACGAAACTGCTGTAGTGAAGGCCCATAGGAAAATGCTGCGGCAGAAAAAGTGAATCAATAGGTTATGCATTTAGTGACTGGTGTAATATTTATTTTTAGTGAAGTTTATTTTAGTTGCGTTTAATTTACGATAATTTTGCATTTAGTTTTTATGCGTATATCTTGATATTGATAGTTAATTTAATAAATAATTTATAAATTTAACTCTAGGAATTTTAATTGCGTATTTAGAAAATGTAATTAGTCGATAGGACAGGGACTGCCTAAGAAAATCTATGAAATATTGGGGCTCTCTTGTTTAGTAAGATTGCTATTAACCTCGTAAGACCGAAGAGTAAATTTTGTCGACTTCTAAGTATCGCCGAATGTGCTTTCAGAAGAACGAATAATTTGAAGTAGTAAACGCCGAGCACTTCGAGTAAAAAAAGTTCTATGTTAGAGATTTTCTTTTGCATTCATATTTTCAGGGGCCCTATATAATAGTGCATAGAGCTTATTTTAGGTAAAAAATAATAAAAAAATGTTTTCTCTTAAAAGAACATTCGGTATTACAGACTTTAAAAAGGAAAAGTAAATAAATTGATTTTATACTTTAAAATAAAACATAAATGTAACCTTTTTAATAAATTAATACTACATAAAGATACAATAATGATATTAATACATGTAACTGAAAAGGTACAGCGGTTTTTATTTTATTTAATGTTTTATAATTAGTACTTTTAAAAGTACTATCGGTTTTATGACATACACTAATGATAGGTTAGAATGTATAAGAAGTAAAGTGAAAATTCATGTTAATTATAATATTTTCTAAACTAAAAATCAGAACGTTCTCATGGTAAATTTTCTCAATCATATCATAATTTTAAAAGTCCAATACTTAATTCCATCTCAATAGAAAAAATATACAAAAATAAAACTTTCACCATCAAGACCGAATGTTCCCTGCAAAGAACTATTATTTTCAAACGAAAAAAAATCTTACAAAACTACTTCAAATTGGGAAAAATAATTTTTTTGCTTGTTTAGCAGTATTTTAATTTAAATTATACTGATCAGTTTTGCAATTAAACTACTTTAACGTGAAGAAAAAAAATTAATCGCACATCACGTCTTCTCGGACGAACCACCTTGTCAAAGGAAAATGATAATTTGACAGTGACGTTTTATTTTTTTTATATTAATAAGTTTGGATACCTGATTTTGAATACTTTAAGCCATAGACTATCACTATTTCTTTTCGATAGGCGCGAATTTTTGAACTTAAATTTATCGCTAAAGTTTTGGTTCCTCTGAAGGCACATCCGGCGATACTTCGAAATCACCTCCGAAAATGTCTCGGCGTTACTGACTACAAAGTTTTAGTTCCTTCTGATGCACATCCGGGCTTACGAGGTTAAACCTATTTGATTGAAACTTTTTGCTCAACGCCAATAAATCACAAATGCCACCGTACTGACATGTGTCACTCGATTCGACATTTTGACCGCTTTATTTTTGTACGCAGCATTGATTTTCTTATTAATTTATTTTCGAATATTTATCCAATATGACCTCCTCTGCCGCGGAACGGCGTTACGAATCTATGCTCTTCAACTACGAAACTACTGGGAGGACCGATTTCCGCGATGGGAGGATCAAGCCGATCATAACAACTGAGTACAAGCCCAAGTCTACCTGCCTGAGGGTGCGCCCTCCTCCGTTGAAGGATATACATGCACTGACGGACTGGCGAGTGCCGAATGTGCCGTTCAACCTCATGCATAAGCCTAAGGACGTTGTGAGGACAAATCCTCGAGTGGTTCAAGAGCCCTATGTAAGTAGGTATAAGTAGTTAAATCTTTAAGGACGTAGTGGTTATGACAAGGAGAACAGGCAAGCATATCCATGATGGTTATACCAATCTATACTAATATTATAAATGCGAAAGTAACTCTGTCTGTCTATCTGTCTGTCTTGCTTTCACGCCTAAACCACTGAACTGATTTTGATGAAATTTGGCATGGAGATAGTTTGAGTCCCGGGAAAGGACATAGGATAGTTTTTATCCCGGTTTTTAAAACAGAAATGCGCGCGATAATGTTTTTCTGTGACAGACAAAATTCCACGCGGGCGAAGCCGCGGGCGGAGAGCTAGTAAAATAATAATTTGCTTCGACTAAGTGCTTTCGTAAGCGCGGGACCATCTACGGCAACCCGAAGAAGTCCGCACACCGCTAATACAGTACCTACACTGGCTTGTACCACATCACGTAGCAATGTGAGCATAATTATACACTAATCCCACATTAGAAACACCACTAGATACAGCAAAAACTTACATTTTGTGCTTGCTGCGCGAATGGTTTTACTTTCAGCACGAGCCCGAAGACGAGATTCGCGAAGAAGTGCAACGCACGCGGCCTCGGCTGGTGATGACGCCTGCAGTCAGTCTGGATGACATAGAGCCGGTGTAAGTAAACTTAACCCTTTAAGACTCCCCGATTCTAATTTGTATTAATAATCGGCCGATACTGATTAACAGCCCGTCCTAACTATCGGCCGACAAAAAATCTGTAGTCTGCGGCTAGGCTTACAGAACAGACATAGCAAGCCAAACCGTTTTTTGGTTTTTGATCTTAAGACAAGGCAAGGTTTAAGTAATACTACGTTTTTTAACGGAAATGTCTTGAGCGGCGATCCACAACAGACATAGTGGCAGGCTTCCTACTCAGTAGCCCGATGACTTGGTGAACGTTGCGGGTTTGCGCCTGGATGCGGGCAGCGTACACAGTAAGTAATCCAGTGTACCTACTAGTAGGCAGTGGACGTTCTTAAATATGGAATAACTAACTTGTACCCGCGGTGCCACGTGCGTGAGTCTCTCGCAGAAATAAATATAAGTAATAAATTATGATAAATTTTATATCCCATACCGTCTCGCAGGACCTCTTGGAGTATGAGTATTCTTTGCGCAGGACTCGCAAGATGCTAGTGGAAGACATATACGTCACGAGCGTCATGCAAATGATGCGCGAGTCGGGAGTGTCCGAAGGCTCCAGCCTCCGCGCGCCCTTGCCAAAACTACCTGCACCTGCTAACCCGGTAAGTATAGCTAAACTACTTGTATTTACACTTAGAACTTAATCCCATATGCCATTCTCTCCCGTTTAACCTTTAGGGCAAAGTTAACAACACTTGAATTTCACTTTACACTTGCAGTCCACGTTGGGCGCCACTTTTGTAAGAGTTATTTTATATCTAAGCCAGAGCACTGGCTTAATAATGTAGCAACGTCTTTATAAACGTCGATAAGGTCTCTTTGTGCACTAATTTACTCAACAAATACCCTGACTGAGCTGGGTGTGTGGTGGAAACGATGAAATGGCCATAAACTAGTCACAAAGGATGATTTAGTCAACATTTCACCACTCATTGGCGAGATACTGAGGCGGTAAACGTGCGGTTACAGTTTGAAGCAAGCGAATTTACGAGCACTGCTTAGCAACCACACGATTATCGCCGTCTCTGAACCAGGCATTCATGTATTATGACAGTCAAGATCTCGCTGATGTTCAGAAGTCGTCCCATTGAAAAACAGTTCAAAATCCGTATTCACAAGGGTCATTTTGATAGAACGATTACTCGATAGGATCGCACTAAACGATTTGTTGTCGTTGAAGTTTTGTTACGTTGTCCAATTGAAAAACTAAATCCGTATTCACAAGGGTCATTTTGATAGAACTATTACTCGATAGGATCCAACTCGTGTTTTGTTTTCGTTGAAGTTTTGTCACGTGAATAAGGCTACAGGCCTAATTCTTCGCTTGACTGATTTTCATTTTTTACAGATAACCCTGCCAAAACTGATGCCACAATACGTATCTCCCGAGTGGCGAATGGACTCGGCAGCGTGGGACAACCGCCAGCTGCGTACCTACTGCGACCCCACCAAGGAGTTCTGGCTGGCTTTCCAGTCCAAGTAAGATCTTATGATTCTCATTTGTGCACTTGCCATTGGAGCTGTAACAAGTCTTATTGCATGAGCCTACGCACAGACCGCCGACTTTTTGTCGGTCGACAGTTGGCCCCAATTTTAATTTGTATGAAGAATCAATCGACTAAAATAGTAAAACACGGGTGTAATCATAATGTAACTCATTAATAAACGTCGCGTTAAGACCCGTGTGTGCCTATTTTAGTTGAAATGTAACGCGAAAGTTTAAAATCTTATAAGTATCAATCGGTGTATTAAGCGCACTTTCATACATCTCCATACTGAGTAACAGCCCGACTAAACTATCGGCCAACTAAAGTCGGTGGTCTGCGCCTAGGCTTACCTACTATCACGTATGTTGTGTAATTGTATCTGTTTTGTTTAAATCTCTCAGTTCGCATAAGGTTTCGCTCGCGATAAACTTTCGACTCCCGTTTCATCCCCATATGGGGTGAGGCAAACTAAACAGAAAACGCAAACTAGTGTTGTTACTTTTGTTTTAACTTGTACATCAAATTGCAGTTTAACTTCTAGCTAGTTTAAAGCTTTACATTTGAAATTTCTTCATTTTAGAATTTGTGGACTTGAGTCACAATAACTATTAATGACGTAGTGACACATTTATCAACCCGGAAAGGGATCGTAACCGTATTAACTCGAGGTGATCAGTTTTCTTAGTATATCAAACTCCATACTTCAACGCACACTTATCCGCACCGTAACGTAAACGCCTCGCGATTGTCAGCGCGCAAAAGGCGATACGTTGTTGATCCGTTTCCGAGTTGATAAGTTTGCTATTAAGACCTAAATTTATTTTGCCAGATGTGACGTATGCGACGAAACGGCGGAGCGCGAGGCCCAAAGGAAAATGCGGAGGCTAGCAAAACGACGATAACGTAACCACAGCTTTATTGTCTAACAAACATACAGAAGCTTAAAACAATACTAAACTTACGTCTATAGTTATACAGTCCAAGGTTCAAACTTTCGAAAAATCTTTAGATATTTATTTTAACATTTTAGATTATTTTATTTCATAATAAATTGTTAAGCTTATTTGTAACATATCGTTTTATTATGCTTAAAAAATAAACTGTTTTAATAATGGTAACATTAGCACAGATAATGAGATCTTGTTTGGAAAAATAACGGTACATATTTTGTTTGTAAAAAAAGCACTGGGTTATAATAATGTCTTTTAATTTCTTCAACTACATATTCAAATTCATAATAATAATAAATTTCATCTAATTTCTACCAATATACAATATATTTTAAACTCGCAAAAGTAACAATCTAATAACAATAAAATCCAATAGTTTAAATAATTTATTATTGCAAATTCCAAACCGAGCCAAGCTCATAATAAAGGCAAACCACACTATTTGAATTACGTCCTATAATAATTATTATAATAACATGTTTTTATTTTATTTCTTTTGTAATTTTTTTCAGTCTTAGTATAAGTTTCAGAATATTTTGTTTAGCTCAGGCTGAGTTATTACAAACTACCCCGGGTAACAAGCTAGCATTCATGACTAAAATTTAAAGAAAATAATATCAAGAATGTTTAGTAAAATATCACATCACATAATTAATATAGGTAGTTTTATGTCAGAAATGTGCCTGGATTATACGTTTATTTAGTTTTAATTCTAACTTGATGCGCAATCGAGAAAATTTTGTTTTAATGATCGGTAATTTTTACTTCTCATTATAATATCCAAATGAAGAGATTCTAGAAGATTACAAGTCACTTTCAGTTTGTACGGTCGGTAGCAGGTTAACCTATGCCAAAATGACACATATCCCAATATACTTTGACCTCTATTGCTCAAAGATAAGGTTGAAAGTCATTTTGTTCACTGGGATCTTACGTCAATATTGTTCTTAATCCGTTTTTAATATATTTTTAATACAGAACTGTCTTAAAAAATACAAAATCGTGCAATAATAATGATCACCAAATAAACATCAAAATAATAATATTAAAACGACCGAAAAGACAATACATTATTCTGAGCTAGCATAGTGATCCAAATGTATTTTTACCGTGTAAATGAATACGACACGCATCGTGAATTATAAATAAAATGTCAATTGGATAACTATGACACTAGCCTGTTTTCACCATAAATCCCTAAATTTTAAGTGACCCCTTTGAAAAGACCTGTTATGTGTTACTATAGGGGTCACTTAAAAGTTAGGGATTATGGTGAAAACGGGCATTAGGCTGGTTTTAGTGTCACGCGGACCGTCAGTGCGGATCGCTCCGCACAGCCGAAGCCGCACAGCTGTATGAATTGCTAGGGAGCGAGCGTTTCCTCCTAAAACGCTCCCCAGAAGTTTATACACTGTTAATTATGAAAAATCTAAAACGTTAAAATAACGGTATCGTTGTGGCCAATGAGATGCTGTCATAGTGACATTGACAATACGTCAATGTCACGCTAGCATCAAACGTCAGAATAGAGAGACGCGCGGAGACGACTCCGCGCGCTTTTGTGCTAAGTGATGAATTGTATCTAAATTAAGGCAATATAATGTGGAAGATGAGTATCCAGTGTTTTATTTATGAGAATAGATCGACCGGCCTCTAATAACACATACGTACTGGACGGTCCTAGTGATACTAAAACCAGCCTAAACTTGCCAGTTATAGGGTAGCTGACACCACCAATCGCCCATCTTAGCAATAGGAACCATAATGAAATCATAATATGTTTAACCAAATGGAATAACTATTTATAAACAAAGCTACTAACAATGTGGTGAATTTAAAACTAACCAGGTTTCTCAGGACTAGAAAGGAAGTGATTTACGCCCGTATTCACAAACGATGCTTGCTTAAGTAAAACAGCAAATCGATCGCACAGCGTTGAATAGAGTTTTGTAATTGGTTCGTGTGCCACGCGCACTGTGAGACCTCATACTAATGTTTGTGAATACGAGCGTTAGTGTAATCTCATAAATGTGTCAACTACCCTCCACTTTGACTGTGATGTACAGACGACAGCATATAGGTTTTAAAATCGCGTTCCATTTTAACAGCACGCTAAACTAAACACGGCTTGATCTTACGTAGTTGCAATAAGCGTCACTTTACAACAAAAATGTAGTGTGCTGTCGCTGTACAGTGTCAAATAGTTCGTGACACCCAAAGCAGAATAAATACAAATGAGTAGGTCATCTTCATAGAAACGCACCGAGCGCGGTTTGTATGTGAGCGCGCCAATACGTATGCGGCGCGCACGCACACACTGACAAAATTCGGGGCAACTCTCCGCTAATCCCCGCTAAATTTTTTCAGTGTNATTATTCTGTGGTATTGCCTAAAAATATAGTTCAGTATACGTATAATAACCAGGATTGGGCTCCTTTACGCCTCATCTAGCGCTCGTTATGCCTGACTCGTAAATCTTCATTCTCCCTCCTTCCCCCCACGACCCTCTGCCACTCGAACCTTGGGTATCACCTATCATAAATGCTGGAATTAGACTCTTTATGCCCTCATTGTAGAGATAAAAGCCAATTTTAATTTCACTTCGGAACGGGAGAATAATTTTAGTGAAAGGACTTTTTATTACCAACTTTCAATTAAGTTCAACTTCTTTTATTGTGATATCTTTTACGTGTAATTATTTAATGGGTATGTTAGTAAGAATATTAAAAAATCTGAGACTACAATATCGTGAAGAATTGTTTAAGAATTAACTAAGTACACCTTCTTACAATCAATGAGAATAGTATTGAAATACTGAAATCGTTCAATTAGTGATGAAATGAAACTTAGCATATTTTAAAGTTTGATATTACCACAATTAATAAATAATTATCAGTTTAATATTCATAGTCCTTTACTCGCCTTTTTATCACTAAGGGTGGATTCGACCAAACAATAGTAAATATTAATCTCACAATAAATCGTCAGTTTTGACATATTTCCCATACTGCAACTGTCAATGTGCCAGTTATACCGAATCGGGCCTAACTATACTGGCTTCTTCTAGTCTTTACCATCGTTTACCAAACCCAAACCACTATATTATCTGCCTAAAGACCCTAATTAATTGTTCTGGGAGACAGAGCCGCTTAACTTTCTATCAAGCTCGTTTTCTGGTCCTCCTTCTCTACTCCATATTCCCTTGAATAAACTTATTGTATACGTTTACATTCCAGAACGTGTAAGCTCTTGGAAAGAAATGTATCTGCATGAGTCGAGTATTGTTTGTAATAAATCCTCGTCTCGTATTTATTTAGTGCCCCCGCCCTACCGCCCGCCCGCCCAAGTCGCCCGCCCTACTGCACACAGCATACTATATGTAATACTTGCATGCTACTTTGTTTCTGCAAACTCTGTAGAATGATTTAAAGCCATTTTAGTTTTTTAGAGGACTATTTCTTTATTCTGTGCAAGTCGAGTTGGCTATTTTGTAGGAAATGCTATCTCGGTAAGTTTTCCTTTCGTGGAAGTGGTACAATAGGAAGCTCTTATAGAATTACCATTCAAATTATGGTCTGCAACTCGAATTCGGATCGGACTCTTTCTATACGTGTTGTAAAACTTATTTTACATATTACGTAGACAATTTTGTGGGCTATTTTAGGTCGTTACCCTGTGTCGAGTCACAAAGAGAAATGGTTATTTTGCCTCGAATAACCTCTTTTTCAGATTTTAGTGTATGCTTTTTATTTTTTATCTTCCAGACATTGATTCAGTTAAATTAAGGATAAACTTTGTATTTCTGTATTTAATTAATGTTTTTTTCTCTATTACAATAACTGATAGTGGCAGATATTAGTTTTATTTGAAAGTAATTCATTCAAATAAAATCCCGAATGATTTTCGACGTAGATACTTTAAAGCTATAATGTACATGCCTCTGGGAACTAGCAAAGTTTTTTATTGTGTGTTTTATGCAAAACTCCTCGCAATATCCAGCGTTCATGTGTAAAAATCCTAAGTTCACTATCGTAACATAAAGCGCTATTAAAGTTTCATGCATCCAATCGCTGTATCTACGAAATAATTCAGCAGCACAGCTACAGCGTAGTACTGAACACGATATTATTTTGTAGTCAGGCCCGAGGCACGGAACACAATTAACTTGTAAGATTGTCTGGAGGCTGCATCTCCCCATCCATCGCCTCCCTCCCAAACAAAACATCAATAAACTCGCAACCGCAGTTCATCTTGTGCTCTACACCCACAGCATACGGTCTAGAATGCGTTGGAGCTTTTTAAGTTATTTATTTCATGTAGGTATATCAGTCCAGTTACCCTTGATTGGTTGTCGTTCCTCTAATCCCGATTTGATCCTTTCCTCCCGAACGTTCCCTCTTCTCTCGGCTAACTATTGACATGGTGAGTGCGTACCTGTTTGTGCGCATCTTTAATGTATGTTTGAATGAGGGAGGGTGTAGCACTCGCACATTTTCTGTGGGACCTGCCGTCGTGATAGTATTTAAAGTGAAGGTAGTACTGTATTTTGGCGCTTCATGAATTACAGAGACGTAATTACAGAGATATCTTTTGACGGAAATGATGTTTTTGACCCTTACAACTTATTTTAAACTAAACTGCATTCATATACCGTTCCTATTTCCCTTTGGTTTGCTTAGTTTGGCGTTGCGTAAAAAATCCACGGATATTTATAATTTTTATCCCTATTCTATCAATAAGTAGACTTATCGTATAATAAATAAGTACAATATTTAGATAGATGGCTTCATTTAAGTCCAATATCCACTTTTCATACGAGTAAAACATTATATTTTTCATAACTCTTACATTAATAATCCAACGCATCTACGTCAATAATTAGACCACACAGCTTAACTGCTGCTTTCGTCAGCTTATAAAACAATATTTTTGTTAAGAAGTAACTTGGTAACACATTTGTATAATGCATGTTGATATGACGTTTTCTGTTAGTTGTGTGTAAACATAATATAGCGCCTAAGGGTTGATATGATATCACGTTGTACACATAGCCCAGACCTCAGCAAGCGAGGCGATCCTTGATAAAATAAAAAACATTATGTTTGCGGCCATAAAGATAACACCGTGACGCCCGCGCAGACGTGGCCACCTCACACGTGCTTACCCGAAAGAACATTCGAAACGGTAAGCAAATATGCCGTTGCCTAATTAAACAGCAAATAATAAAAACTCGGCATTGACTCACAGATAAATGAGCAAACACTTCATGTTTTCGTGGACCCAACTGCCAATGACGTCATCCGCGAAAACGATTGTTCATCGCGGCGCTTAGTCCGCGGCCCACCAAAAGGAGCAAAGAATCGGAAAGCGATACGACTAATCCCACTAATCGCAGAGCAATTGAAAAATAAAAATGTAGATGGCGGAATGATTCCATTTAGAGCCAAAACGATGCGACAAAATAATAAAAAAGGTGCGGGCGGAACCGAATGGACTGCCCCGGCGGCCGGCGGCTAATATTGAAAGCAAATCCTCGGCTAAATCCTTAAAGCGCTGGATCCCAGCACCTGGAACTGTTTGCCACCGCTCCTGATAATCATTCGCAGGATTATTGTATACTTTCCGCTTAATGTCAGCGATTGCCGTGAATCGATTGTTTGAAATTTATTGGCGTTCGGAATTTTGACCCCGAGCTTCGCGTTTCAATTCGGGGATTTGGAGGTTTTACCTTTCACGCGGAAAAACAAATTAACTTTTGAGTGTGCATTAAATTTTGTTTATCTTCCTGTTTGTATTTTCAATACTTCCACGTGGGTGGTGATTTGGCCATAATACAAACGCTCACGTAGATACTATTATTTGCATACCGATCTAGGCACATATGAATCTAATATAAGTATTTATAAATAAGGTAAATAAATTAGATCACTGACGTACAAAAAGACGTAACTTCATGACGTACGAAAAATAAACAAGATAAAATTATTATAATTAATGACATAAATCAATATCAAACAAAACACACTCGCTTATTTTAAGTATCATAAATATCATGAACACTTGCTATCAGATGAGAACGACTCCATCTTATTTCAGGAACTCTCGTACCAATTACAAGTTTATCAATTCAATTCAATTGATCACAAAAAAGCTACAGAGAGCTACGATTTGTTTTAGCCGCTACGAAAGTGCCGTAGCAACTACGAAAGCTACGGCGCTACGAGAGCCCCTACCAGTCAATCCGTCAGCGCGCCTCCGTTGCGTAGCCGCGGGCCCGTATTTAGAAAGCTATTGCAGTATTGATACTGCAATTATTTGAAGTTGACTTCAACTATGACTTCAACTATGACTTCAACTATGACTTCAATTTTGTTAATTAGCAGTAAGATTTGTTCCCTAATTCGACTCGTCAGTGATAACAAAATATTTTGAGTACCTACTTATAGAGAATGCCAGACGTTGAGACATTTGAGTATACGAGTACGTATCAGCATTTTAATTTCAGTATACATCCACCTTTCATTGTACGTAAATAAAAACCTCATTTAAGGTAGAAATGTGTTCTTGAAAGAAGTGTTGAATTGAATTCAATGAATAGGTATTCTTTTAATCTTTAGTTTTCATTAAATATATTTTATTAATGAGCCTTTTTCTTTCCTTGGGTCTAGATCAATTTTAATGGCGTACCTATTAATAAATATTTAAGAAAAGTTGAGAGTACCATCGAATCCTGAGTTCGGTTCTAAAATACGGGCCGTAGTAGCGTTACAGCTTTCCCTGACGTGAAATTTATTTCTATTTCAATTTAATGCACATTGCACATTCTGCAAGCTCCTTGCAAAAGCTTTATCCGAATAGCTTTCTAATAAATTCGACAAAGTTTTGTAACTTACGTGTTATTTTAAAACAAGCTATTATTGTAGGAGTTTGAGCTTTATACTAGTAGAACGACAGAAGTGGATTATTTAGAAAATTACATTTATTATTCTAAATTCGTGGTTTTAACTTTCATAACAATTAGGTAGGCTAATGAATATTTATTGCGATTGAACTTGTCTGGTATATCTCCTAAGTGTGTTCTTCGCATAGACAGCTCCATATGGGAGTCGAACCCAGAATCTGAGACACGAGAGTCAGCTCTCTCGTGACTGCAAAATCGAAGCGATTTTCAATAATTTCAAGGGTAAATAGTAACTAATAAGCACTATGTATTTGGAAGTTTTAAGATATTACGAGTAGGTATATGCTTAGTTTAAGACAAGATGGTAACGCTTAAAATGTCCAAGGATTTATTTATTTATTCGGGTATGCTGTATAAAGAAAACCAATGAATGACTCGGTGACATTTTTTATTATGACTAGAGGTTTTAAGTTACAAAACAATCGTTATTTCCTTATATTACAAAAAAATCAACAAACTATTGCAGTTCGTAGATATTTTGTTTGATATGTATAAAACGAAAACCTCGATATCTTTCGTATTAATATTAAGATACGTCAAAATGTATTTACAATTTTCATACGAAACGAGTACTTTCTTCACGACGAATTTTTTATACATTTTAGTTATTCTTTGTCTTGATTTTAATCCAGAGACCAACAAATCAAGCTAAAGCATTTTATTTACCTGTAATAGACGTTATATTGCAGTTAATATGTATAGCTAAATATATTGGCGACTGTATTATAAATTATAAACAGTTAATACTTACACAAGAAAGATTATTTACAGAGTTTTTTAGTTTTTAATGAAAGGGCATTAAATGTACACACATTATTCGTCGTGAAAATAAGTACATTTTCCACTGATCATTTCATTAGGCACACGGAAGTAGGTATTCTAATTCGTGTTGTAACCTAAGTTCTATGTTAACAACTAGATAGTTACATTTATTTACAATTCATGTGGGCGTTATATAAATATTTAAATAAATTATGAGATCCTGGTTACTTTAATCTCATGTGGAGGCGGCTATTTTCATGTTAATTTCATTAAGTACATTTATTATGTTTTGGATAGGTTATGTGACATTTGTGTATTGCGATTGTGTTTATGCTGATTCGGTATTATCAGCGTAATATTCGTACACTGAAATAAAATCACATTCGCAAAATGTTATCGAAGTTACTGTGTCTGTAAGTTAACTCTACTGCGTCGTCCTCTTAGAATACATGTAGCAATTTGTATAAGACACAGCTCTTTGATACATTTCATATAGTTATAATGATAAAACTAAATATATTTTGCTAATAGGATAATTGATTGTGTCAATGAACTGTGTAAGTGAAGTGTCCAAGTAGAGTTGACGCGTCAGTTTAAAATCAGCACAAATTAAAAATTAATTTCTATTATAACGTTTATTTGACGTCTATTAATCTATCCATTTTCTTCAATCTTAGATATGTATTTATCACCATGAATTTTAAGCCGCAAAAGATGTATGTTTGTATTTATGCATCAAGAATATCAGGATGTGAACAAAACTTTCTATGTAAAACAAACAATTTATCGTATAAAATATCAAGCAGTCAAAACACTGGATATTATCTTAAAATCAGATATCTACTACGCCATATTAAACCATTTGCTAAATAAAATAAAACAAAAACATAAAACAAATAACGATCAACTTTCGTTAATCTTACATTTCGTAAAGTTGTCTTTGTTTTCTTTGAAAATAAAACTCTTAAATTAATTTACTAAGCTTTTGTTGTTATAATAATAGTAAAATATGTACACTTTAGTTTGTATAAAATCTCATTCTTATATTATTTTGGTAATTAGCTGATAAATGCAAATATTTCATACAGTACAACACAAATATTTAATTTTCTATAGAACTGTTAAAATACGAAAAATTATGTTCTTAATAGTGGTTATTACCGTGTTCATTAATCTTCAATATTATGCTTAAATAAAATACTTTGGTATCATTATATTTGTACCACTGATTTGTATGCTTTTTCTGTCTTGTTAACAAAAAAAACCACCCGCCTCTTTTAAGTTTGAAGGTACTTACTTATATGTATAACAAAATGATTATCCTGTGTTGGTATTCCATGAAAGAATACTTGTGATATCGTATTTACAATTTCCAGTACCAAGCTACATACTTAAAATTACGTACAACTTAGACCTAAAGTATATTGTAAGCTTATAAAAAATTGCACACATCGCTTTGGTATACGTACATACATAACTACATATTTACATTAACACAAATCGTTAACATTATTGCCCGATGTTTCGTAACGAACCTTTACAATAAGTGAAGATAACTATTAAATAATAATTATTATAATAAACGCGAATCACTCCCTTATACCGCAGACTGTCCCGGAACGACGTGTCTCTTACACAAACATATGCCAATCGATGACGTCTAAAAAGTCACTCAACAATGATCACTGTTCTTGTATGGGATGACCTGCACCAAACACCATGAAGACTGTTTTTTAAATGTAATAATTTATTATATTATAGTGGATTTGTTTTATCCCTTGGCGAATTGAAGAGTTCACGTGAATGAATAAACATTCTCAAATATTGAGTTCAAACGTACCTAATTAAAATTTCTAAACAATATAAGCTACTAGCTACTACAGGTCTATAAATAGGAGTTACATTTCAGGAATAAGTTACTTCTTGTTATTAGATAATTTTTACGATTTATGTAGCTTCATGAAAGGTCTTTTGCCTGAAAAACAAAGAGCTGAGACTAATTAGAGGTGGAATTGTGTAAAGCAATCGTAATCATTTGACAATCTATAACGTACGATAAAGTCAGTTTAACAAAGCGTTTGAGAGAATAATCGTACGTTATGAATTGTCAAATGATTACGATTGCTTTACACAGGTTCTCTTTCTCAAATCGCCAAGGTTACTTTTAGTAATTAGAAACAATAATGCTTGTATTCCTCGTAGTTATAGAATTTGGTGAAAGCCATCTCAGAGTAGCACCGTGTCAAGCACGACGCCTCAGTCGAACCAGTCCCACAGGTGCCTGTAGAGGCCGTGCGCGGGCGCAGCGGCAGCGTCGGGAGCGCGCGCGGGCGGCGACTATGCACGCATGCCCGGCGGCGAGCGCGCCTCCTCGCGCCCGCGTGCCTCGTCTCAGAGCACGCGGTCCGACACCCCCACGCCGCCCGCGTACTGGCACGCCGACAGCGGCGCCGACCCGGCGCGAGACACCGGCGACACCGTCCCGTAGCCCCCGCCGAAACCAGACGAGTGCTGCTTCGCCTTCAACCGCAACTGCGCGATGGATGAAGACATCGCCGCGCAGGGTTCTGCGCGGTACATGCTGTACGGGTTCGGCGGCGCCGTGTAAGGACAAGGCGCCACGCCGCCACCTACGCCCGCCGACCCAGCGACACCCGCCATCCCGCCGCCCCCGACTCCACCCATCGATGTTGCGGTGTTGAAACAGTTCACGGACCCCTGGTGATGGCTCGCCGGCACCACCGAGCCCAGTGGATTCACCGGCCACGGGAAACTCTTCGTGCCCAGCGGACTCGGCACCTTCGCCGCCCAGTTGTTGTAGGGATACGACGAGTACAGCGCGTCCGTGTCCGGGAACGGCTGCATCAGCCCGTTGAACTGCGTGCTGAAGCCGTTCTTGAAGTCGACGGCTGCGGCTGCGGCGGCGTTCATCGCGTTCCTTTCCCGTTTCCGCCATTTCGCCCTCCGATTTTTAAACCAGACCTGCGACAAAAAACCTTTGGTTATTATTGATCTAAAAGCACGATCGTTACATTGAGGGAGGAAGGCCCCAAAATTTTATCAATGCTCGACTCGTAGTCCATTAGGAAATTGGAGAAGGTAAAAAGTAGATATTGCCAGACTGCTGTCACCATAACGAAATCTACCAACTTTTAACGAGATTCAGAATCGGGACGCGACCTGGGTTGCGTAGCTATTAACTTTACTCATTACAAAGTTGACAGAGCGACGGTGCGGCGTATTCGAGCCACGTAGCGGCGAGCGCCCCGCCCGGCCGCAGGCAACGACCCGTCTAATTGTGGTCGCGAAATGAAGATAAACGAGCGCCGCGATTGGGCGGGACTGGTGGCCCGATCGGGCCGCAATAAATGAGCGGCCGCCGTGACGCCTCCGGACAATCGATGGTTGTTTAGCGGAGACGCGAGCGGAGGCGTGATAAGTCGCCGTGAGCGCAGATAACGCGCCGGGTGACGTATGGCGGCGTCCGTCACCGCCGGTCGATCGCCGCCGCGGCGACACCTCGCGATAAATCGCGCAATCCACGTACCGAGTGCAATAAATATTGTGCCGCCGCCGGTATTTGTCTCGCTCACTGTGGCGGGTTCACCCAGCCGAAACGGTAAATAATACCCTCTTTCCTCGGTTAAGTGAACATAAACGGTCGTTTCCACCCCATATACAATCGTTTATTTTTCGAAACATAAATTTTACAAATTCACATTCGCTAACGCATGTTTCCTGCTCAGGTAGCCGTGGTTTACTTTATTCTTAAGCTTCTTTTTCCCTTTTATCTTCTAAAAAAACGTTTGACCTTTTCTGAAAACTGTACATTTAAACCTAAAAGTCAAACATGTAATTAAATGAAATGGTTTAATTCGTTAATAGTCACCGGCGGCTGAGTTGATTAAATCCCCGCGCATCAGTCGAACAACACATCGTTACTGAAACAAAAAGCGCCGCGCCATCCGGTGTTTCCCATCGAAACCGCGAACAAACGGGTGAAAATAGCTCCACAGCGCGTTGGGGTGTTCAATAATGACAATGATATTTATTTAGGTGCACATATGTGGAAATAATTTCCATTATTTGAATAGAGCCCGGCGGGGCGTAGAGGCGGAGGGTCGCGATATTGCGCCGGGCTAATCCTTTAAATATATTATTGCAGGATGGTGACCGCCGCTCCCTCCGCAAGGAGGGCCAATTTTTTAATGCTTACGGAATCAATACTAATGTTTGTGCGCGTTCGTTTAGCATCACGGGTGAGACGAGGGGCGCGATGTTTTAATGCGAAAGAATTACGAATGTAATGCGATTGCGTTTTGTCAGATTATGCACTTGTTAATTCTATTATAGAAGCAGATTATCTTTTAGTGACTCAATGACGATGCGACGACTTGGAACGAATGTTAACGAAAGCTTTCGTAAAATCTCTTCCGCACTCCATAACAGTCAACGAGAGCGTCTAATACACTTAAAAATAACCGCAATAAGCTCTACACAAAGGCTGCGGTTAATGTACACATATCAATATAATTAGATAGTGTTTATCGCGTTGGAGTAAATACGGCGTGCGTGGCCGAATACAGATGGCGGCATTACCGATATCCCCTTTATTGTTATGGCTAGATCACAACACGATGATGTGACTCCTAACTGCATGGGATAGCTTGTAAGGGAAGGAGTTGTAATTGACAAACTTGAAGATACGTGATCAATACGGGAAACATCCTTCCTTTACTTATTTAGTAGGTAACTAAAATTAACTCTATTTGCCTAGTTCGTTCGTTCTTTCGTTTCAGCCGAAAGACCCACTGCTGGACAAAGGCCTCCCCCAAGGATTTCCACAAAGACCGGTCCTGCGCCGCTCGCATCCAGGCGACTCCCGCGACCTTCACCAGATCGTCGGTCCACCTAGTGGGAGGCCTGCCCACGCTACGTCTTCCGGCTCGTGGTCGCCACTCAAGAACTTTCCTGCCCCAGCGGCGGTCAGCTCTACCAACAGGAGGCGTGTGACAAAATCCCTGCAGCACCGGACGGGCAGCAGCGTCTGCGTGCGAAACCTTACAAAAACTGCGATCGCCAACCTGCCTGCCAAGCGTGGCGATTAAGGCAAATCCCCCCCATAGAGATTTGCCTAGTTGATGAAATATCTTCCAAAAAAGATGCGATAATAAAGATCGTTTGTGACAACTTCTCAAACCTCGGCCCAGGAGTCAGATTCATGAGCTAATGCTAATAGTAATAGCATAGGCATAGGTATTAATAGTTCATAATAATTTAATGTTTAAAGTAACTGACGTCATTAGGTAACTTTTCATGACAGTTTTATTTAAACATAAGTATTTATATTCCCACGTCTATTTACATTCCAATACTCGTATACGTCATGTCAACGTTAGTGCAAAAGAAATACAGTAAGTTTTGTGCGTCAGTTGTTTTACCGAATCTTTTATCTCAGTTCATGTAATCTTACAAAGATACGCACAAAAAATGCCAACTCATCATTACGGCAAACTAATGCAAGTTTTCTCGCAGATTTCAACCAACTTTTACTAACCCTGGGTTGCACCATTTTTCGTTAACTAAGGCTGAGTAACTATAACGATAACCGGCGTTTTTTGTATGGAGTTTGACAGGTTTTTGACGTTTGTCAATGTTAAAGTAAGATGGAACCCAGCCTAATGCCCGTTTTCACCATCAATCCCTAATTTTTATGTGACCTGTACACATAACAGGTATTTTGTTTTCATAGAGGTCCCTTAAAAATTAGGGATTGATGGTGAAAACGGGCATGAGTGAAACAAAAAGTCTGCCCTTACAAAAACACCGGTTATAGTTAAACTTAATTACGGATAAAATTAGGGTGGTGCAACTAAGGCTAAAAGGTCATGGGTCTTGTCTTTTTTGCGTAAACATTAATAGTATTCCCTGGTGACCTGTAATACAGGCTCTTTCAGAACCTACTTCAGACACCAGTCTTCACAATACGGGTATATGCCAGGCTAATGCACCGATTAGCACACTAGCAAATAATATAGGTATCACAGAATGATAAACTATTGTATCTTTCATATGTGCTGTCGTGTGTACCTAATATCTGTCAAATATTGTCTCAATACCTAAGCCCATTGTGAAGAAAATATTTTTTTTATTATTATTTATTATTTTATTATAGTAAAGTCATCAACATCCACTTCCATCAGACATACGCCCGTATTCACAAACATTACTATGATGTCATACAGTGCGCGTGAACGCACAGGGTGACATACGAATCACAGAGCTCTATTCAACGCTGTGCGTTCGATTTGCTGCTTCACTTAAACAAGCATCGTTTGTGAATACGGGCGTGAGAGAACTGTGCGCGTGAACGCACATGGTAACATACGAATCACAGAGCTCTATTCAACGCTGTGCGTTCGATTTGCTGCTTCACTTAAGCAAGCACCGTTTGTGAATACGGGCTTTATACGAGTAGTGTAGAGATATCAAGCAGGACGTGTCGGCATGTAGTAAGATTAATGAGACTTGTAATGCCTAGGTATAGCTGGTGAGAAGGGGACCGCTTGAAGAAAGGGCGACCGCTTAGCTGTTCATGATTGTTTCATGATACATAAGGGTAAGGCTTGTATGCTGACGTCTTATTTAAACTGTGGAAGTGTACAGCCTAAACGAGTATGATATTTAAGGTTCATTAATCAAGAGAACGTCCTATGGCTGAAATGATGATAAAAATGATGAATCAAGAGAACGGTAGTAAAAGATATTATGGGTGACATACGTACTACTCAGCCTGACCTGTGGTTTACTGGTAGAGAATGCCACCGAGCATTAAGTCCGCCACTGTACAGTGTTTATGTGCAAGAAGTTTAAATAAATAAATAAAAAATACTCCTTAAATAAGTAAGTAGTTGCGTTAATTTATAAATTGGCTCAAGAGCTTTAAAGCTCTACTTACTGGGAATTTTAATAATATGTCGGTACGAAAACTAAAAGCAAGTTTTTAACAGAAGATCAATCACAGCAGTAATTAATCGAATAGGTATTTTTTTTATACAAAATCACGTAACAATTCAAAATAATGACAATTAAGTTAAAAAGAAGTGTATCAGGAGGTTTGTTGTACAATCGATGTCTTATTCAACCACACACCATATTGTATACAGAATAATAGTGGCAGAATCCCAAACTACCTATATCAATTTAAACCCAATTCCTCTATTCTTAGTGTAAGACGTGTCGCCCTTCCGTATAATGGAACGTTTTACGGCCGCCACCGCAGGGTCGCTAAATTGCCTTAAATTTAAATTAAACTGGAATCAAAGTTTTATTAATGTCATCAATCAAATGGCGAATAATCCGAACGGGTGGCCAAGGGTTTGGACGCGAGATTATAGGTCTTATTTGTATAGCAGTAAGGGGTAGTTTCGGATGCACGTTTTCGGGGCAGAGACTATTGCGAAGTCAAATAAACACGCGCTCGTATAAATGGATAGAGCGTATAATTCAGAATTGACACGTGGCATAGTTAGGGCTGTCTAAAGTTACGTTTCAAAGTAAAAATAAAAGAAAAGAAATCTAGCATCAATTTCAAATAACAAAGCAAAAAATTGGAAAGAATGTTAAAGGATTTTCAATGTTTTGTTGCTTATTAACTTAGTTAAAGCAAATGCGTGAAAGATCGTAATAAGAAAATGCCCACTTACTTTACTTAAAAAAGTTCACATCATTTGTATTCATATTACTTAACTGTTTCTATAGACACCAGACTTCCAGAAGTTGACAGCCCTAATTTAGAAGGATTATTAAATGCTACCCCGAGTGAGCGGTAGTTTCCTGAACCACGGGAAACCATCATCAGCAGTTTGATGCCGTTATAAACGGACCAATAACTGTCAGAGCGAAGAATAACGAATCTGCAGCATTTTGTTTACATTCTTCATCTAAAAGCTGCATTGGAATTCAGTTTGCGAAGATACTCC